CATGGGCTGGCCTTGATGTTGTAGAGGTGTATGCTCCTCACTTGCCCATGGGCTGCCATGATGAGTGTAGGGGTGTATGCTCCTCACTTGCCCATGGGCTGCCAATGATGAGTGGTGGAGGTGTATGCTCCTCACTTGCCCATGAGGGCTGGCCATGATGAGTGGTGGAGGTGTAGCTCCTCACTTCCATGGGCTGCCATGAAACTGTAGGGTATATCCTCACCTTACCTTTGGGCAACACATGATGACTGGCTGGGAAGGTATGCTCCTCACTGCACTGCCATATGGGCTGCATGATGATGTGGGGGAGGTTGCTCCTCACTTGCACATCGTTCCATTATGATGTGGGGGAGTAAATTTTCCTCTCTTCCCATGCTGCTGCCATGATGGTGTGGGGGAAAGGTAATGCTTCCACACTTACCCATAAGCCTTCCATGATGAGTGTGGGGGAGGTATGCTCCTACACTTACACATGGGCTGCTATGATGAGTGTGGGGGGAGGTATGCTCCTCGCTTACCCTAAACTCATTGGGCTGGCCATGATGAGTGATGGGGGAGGAATGCTCCTCACTTACCAAATGGCTGCTACATGAGTGTGGGAGTGTGGGAGAGTTATGCTAACTCACTTACCCATGGCTGGCCATGATGACTGGGGTGGTATGTCCTCTCACCTCCGTCTCACCGCACTTTTACCCAATTGTACCCATGGTGGGCTGCCATAATGAGTATGTTGGGAAGTAGCTCCTCACTACCCATAGGCTGTGGGCTGGTCCATGATGATGCTGGGGAGGTATGGCTCCCTCACTTATCACACTTATCCATTGCTGCCATGATGGACTGGGGGGTACGGTCGAGTACACTTACACCATGGGCTGTGCCATGATGACTGACTGGGGAGGAGGTATGCCTCCTCACTTAACCCATGGGCTGCCTGTTGAGTGTGGGAGGAGTAGCTCCTACCGTTACCCAACCCCATGGGATGTGCCGTTATTAGTGTGGGGAGGTAATGCTCCTCACTTTTACCCATGGAGCTACCCATGAGTCTGCATTATGAGTGTGGGGGGAGGTATGCTCCCTCACTTACTCATGAGGGCCAATGATAGTGTGCGGGGAGGTATGCTCCTCACTTTACTTACCATGAGCCTCTGCCATAATGAGTGTGGGGATGTATGCGCCTCACCACCCATGAAGACTGCCATGATGATTGTTGGGGGAGGTAAGCCCTCACCGTACCTGACTGCCATGATGAAGTGGGGGGAGGTATGCGCCTCACCTACCCATGAGCCTGCCATGAGGATTTTGGGAAGGTAAGCTCCTCACTTACCCATTAGCTGAAATGATATGTGGGGGGGGAGGTAGCTCCTCATTACCCATGCAGCTGCCATGATGAGTGAAGGGGAGGTATCTCCTCACTTATTTACCCATGAGCGCCTTATGATAGTGTAGGGAGGTAATCTCCTCACCCCTAGCTGCCATGATGAGGGTGGGGGGGGGTATGTGCTCCTCAAATACACCACGAGCTTCATGCCCATGATGATTGGATGGGGGAGGTATTGGGGAGCCCTCACTACCCCATGAGCTGACTTACGCCATCGACTCTTGCATGATAGAGGTGGGGTGGGGGGAGGTATGCTCCGCACTTAGCACTTACCCATAAGCTGCCATGATGAGTGTGGGGGAGGTATTCTCGCACTTACCCATGAGCTGCCATGATGAGTGTGTGTGGGGAAGGGAGGTATCTCCTCACGTACCTATGACCTCTGCCCATGATAGTGTGGGGGAGGATGCCCCTCCACTTACCCATAGCTACTCCTTTCCTCCTTGACTTGCCAATGATGATTGGTGGGAGGAGGTATGCTCCCCTCACTTACCCATGAGCTGGCCATGATGAGTGTGGGGAGGTAGGGGTATGCGTCCTCACGGTTAGCGCCCATAAAGACTGCCATAGATTGTGGGGGGAAGGTAGCTCCTCCATACTTACTCCATAGCTCAGCCATGATGAGGTTTGGGGGGAGGTATGCTCCTCACTTAAACCCATGGAGCTGCCATAATGATGAGGGGGGCGGTAATGCTCCTCACCTTAACCCCCATGACTCTCTGGCCATTGATGAGTGGGGGGAGGTAATTTCCTCACTTTCCCAGAGCTGGCCATGATGAGGTGTGGGGGGAGGTAAATGCTCGTCCCTCGTCACTTACCCATGAGCTGCCATAATGAGTGTGTGAGAGTATGCTCCTGCACTTCAACTATGACCTGCCATGATGAGTGAGGGGGATGGTATGCTCCTCACTTACCCCAAGAGCTGCCATGATGATGTGGGGAGGCAGTATGCTCCTCACTTACCCAATGAGCTCCATGATGAGTTTGGGGGGGAGGTATGCTTCTCACTTTGCTTAAGTTACCCATATCTGCAAATGATGAGTTGGGTGTGGGGGTGGTATGCTCCTCAACATAAACCCAAGAGCGCCATGATAGTTGGATGGAGTAATCTTCCTTTCTCATACTTACCCCATGAGCTGCCATGATGAGTGTTTGGGAGGTTTGATCTCCTCAGGTGGGTTGAGTGGGGTGTTGTAAGTCCGGGGGGGTGGGGGGGAGGGGTTAGGGGTGATTTTGTTCCACCCATGCCACCGGCCACACCACCAGGCCACCGTGCCACCTAAAGATCCTCAGAATCTATTATTTTTATAGCGGCACAGACTGTAACCAGTAGTGAGGCCTTAGTCAGATGACCAAAAGCTCCAGTCTGGCGTTCTCAGCAATAATTAATGATAAGCTGGCCAGAGACAGGACATCTTCAATGGCGATGTTTCGCCGCACTCCCTGTAAAAATTTTAGGATATAGGCGGGAACATAGAAGAGAAGAATAACAAAGATTCGCAGGTGTCCTGAGAGGGTTTTAAACCCAGGTTTAACTACTAGTGATAGTTATATTTAATTATTACAGGATATAGATTAACCAGTAAAGCTCATACAGTAACCTAAAACCAAACATAACTTACAGTAACCTAACCTAACTTACAGTAACCTAACTTACAGTAACCTAACATACAGTAACCAAACCTGACCTAACTTACAGTAACATAACCTAACTTACAGTAACCTAGTGTAACTTACAGTAGTGTAACTTACAGTAGTGTAACTTACAGTAACTTACAGTAGTGTAACTTACAGTAGTGTAACTTACAGTAACTTACAGTAGTGTAACTTACAGTAACTTACAGTAGTGTAACTTACAGTAACTTACAGTAGTGTAACTTACAGTAACTTACAGTATGTTACTACAGTTAACTTAGCAGTAGTGTTACTCAGTAGCACTTACAGTAGTGTAACTTAAAGTAACTTACAGTATGTAACTACAGTCACTGACAGTAGAGTAACTTACAGTAACTTACGTATGTAACTACAGTAACTTATCAGAAGTGTAACTTACAGTAACTTACAGTAGTGTAACTTACAGTAACTTACAGTAGTGTAACTTACAGTAACTTACAGTAGTGTAACTTACAGTAACTTACAGTAGTGTAACTTACAGTAACTTACAGTAGTGTAACTTACAGTAACTTACAGTAACTTACAGTAACTTACAGTAGTGTAACTTACAGTAACTTACAGTAACTTACAGTATTGTAACTTACAGTAACTTACAGTAACTTACAGTAGTGTAACTTACAGTAGTGTAACTTACAGTAGTGTAACTTACAGTAACTACAGTAGTGTAACTACATAACTTACAGAAACTTATCAGTATGTAACTTACAGTAGTGTAACTTTACATTAAAACTCCAGTAACTTACAGTATTGTAACTTACAGTAACTTACAGTAACTTACAGTAGTGTAACTTACAGTAACTTACAGTAGAGTAACTTACAGTAGTGTAACTTACAGTAACTTACAGTAGAGTAACTTACAGTAACTACAGTAGAGTAACGTACAGTATGTAACTTATACATAGTTTACTTCAACAGTAACTTTACAGTAGTGTAACTTACAGTAACTTACAGTAGAGTAACTTACAGTAGTGTAACTTACAGTAACTTACAGTAACTTACAGTAGTGTAACTTACAGTAACTTACAGTAACTTACATCTAGTTATTAAGTAGCGTTCGTAAGTTCATACTACACAAATATATAATTATTAAATTATGACCAATAATTAATGTTTAAACCTTGTAGTCTCAGTAATAATAATAATAATAAAATAATAATAATTTAATAATAATAATAATAATAATAATAATTTATCTGCAATGATGTTATTTTAATATATCTTGTAATATATGAATCATAAAAGTCAGTATCCAATAACTTACTCTACAACTGGGATCAATACTTACTCTTTCACTGGTATCAATACTTTCCTGACACTGGGGATCAACTTATCTGAACTGTATCAATACTTACTCTACACTGGTATCAATACTTACTAAAACTGGGATCAATACTTACTCTTCACGGTATCAATACTTTCCGACACTGGGATCAAACTTACCTACACTGTAACAATTACCGAATGGTATCAAACTTATCTGACACTGGGAACAAAACTTACTCTTACACTGGTATCAATACTTACTCTTACACTGGTATCAATACTTACTCTGACACGGATCTAACCTTACAGTAATTTCTTACTCTGACACTGTATCAATACTTACCTGACACGGTTCAATCTTACTCTGACACTGGGATCAATTACTACCTGCACTGGTATCAATACTTACTCTTTACACTGGTACAATACTTACTCTCAGGTCAATACTTTCTCTTTAACTGTATCATCTTACTCTGACACTGGTATCAAACTTACTTGACACTGGGAACAATACTACTCTACCTGGTATCAATACTTACTCTGACACTGGTATCAATACTTACTCTGACACTGGTATCAATACTTACTCTGACACTGGTATCAATACTTACTCTGACACTGGTATCAATACTTACTCTGACACTGGTATCAATACTTACTCTGACCGATCATACTTATCTGACACTGGTATCAATACTTACTCTGACACTGGTATCAATACTTACTCTGACACTGGTATCAATACTTACTCTGACACTGGTATCAATACTTACTCTGACACTGGTATCAATACTTACTCTGACACTGGTATCAATACTTACTCTGACACTGGTATCCTTGCTTTCCAAAACCCCTGCAACACAGAAAATAAATATGTGGAGTCAGTTAACCTGTGCTAACTGGAGCGCAGACAAGGGGGAGACATGATCTATACCTGGAAAATCCTAGGACTGATCTCTAATGTGCACACAAAAACAACTCCCTCTCAGAGAGGGCCGGGGGGCGTTGACCCCCGCGGCCCTCTCCAGGTATACTCCAAGGAAATAAGATTAGACCGTACAACATAGTCCCAATTAAAAATAGGGACACCATGAGTACACAAAGTGTCTTGGGCCCAAGACTGTTCAGCAGCCTCCCACCAGTCTTAAGATTACCAATTGACTCCCGGATACCTAGTCTACCAGAACACCTGGTATGTAGTTGGTACATTGTACTGCCAGAAGTAACAGCCTAGATGATCACTCTGATTATTATTATTAAAGATTCGCCGGTATTCTCCCGGTCCGGGCCTTTTCCAAGTGGTGACCCGGCCTTGGCTCCCTGTCATGGTAGTGTCTGAGACCTAAGTCTCCCATGGGAGGAGACAAGTACCTCCTCATCTTTGGGACCAAGTGTCCCCAGGCCTAGCCACATTCCCTGCCCTCACGGGGCTGGTAGGGAGAAGCTAGGCCTCTCTGGTCTGTCATCCTCGCTCCAAAGGGGGCTAATGTAAATAAATGACAGTCTTACGAGCTAAAAGCTCTGGCACCTACCCTACCCTAGAGGGGCTGGGTATGGTGTTGATGGATCACAGATGTACCGGAGATTAGATCAGATCAGGACTCACAGGTAAGGACCCACGAGGGGCGAGGGGCAAGTGGGGACAGTGCAGAATAATGGTAAAGGGAATGTCTTAGTCGAAGAGAAAAGAGTCGGGGCAGCCCCAAATGCAACCCCTGGTAAACAATGGAAGACGACATAAAAGCAGCGGGAACTCCGGGGGTGGCTGCAACTTGCTGGAGGGAAAGTTTGCGATCTTGATGTTGTTGGGCGGCTGGCAGAAGCTGGAGGCGTGGTCAAGGGAGGCTAGCTTCTTGTTTGGTCAGGTGTCGTTATAGTGTGAGTCGGGGTTTACTTCAGTTCTTCAGTGTTGGGGCATTCCTTATGTTGTCAGTTGTTGGAAAGGAAACGATGATAGTCTTGTAATCCTTGGTCGAAATGCTGGGTCACTTGTAACTGTCAAAAAGTCAATCCTGAGTGTTGCCAGGAAGCAATGGGTTCCTCTAAGATTGTAAACATGACTGTTCTGTCGTGTAATCTCTCGTACAAAAGTCACTTAATGGTGTTCTTGGTCAGAGTCGTATAAAAAGGTTATATCTTTCCCAAGTGTAGTATTGATCTCGATTTTGGTCTTCTGTATTAATACGTCGAGGATGACTGTGAGGTTTTTGTTTGTGGTTGCAGAGCATTGGATTCATATCAATGTTGTTGTCTTCACTACCGAGTGTGTAGAAGACTGTGGTGGAATCGTGGCTTCTGATTGGTCCATTTGAGCAGCGGTGAGTGGAGGCGAAGGAATATCTGTGCCGCCACGACGAGCCAATCGACGAATAGGAGACGTTTGAGTGACGTCACTAGTTGTTGGTGGTGTTGGAGCTGCTGGCTCAGCGGTGGTAATTAGGTCCTTGGTGAATTTTAGTATTTCTTCCGAAGGTGGAGATGCTGGGAATATGAATGATGGCATATTATTTAATGCAAATACCTCGTTGATGGTAGAGTTAAAGGATCCAGGTACAGCCATGTTCTGCATGTGAGCATATAGTAAGCAGTAGTGGATCTTGGTTACGTTGGAGTGGTCAGTGGTCAGTCGTCACGTGAGGTCACAGACCCTGAGCTGCTTTGGGGATTAGCGTGGACGGTTACAAAGCATGGCTTGTTTCTGCAGTGTTTTAAAAATTGAGGTTGGAGAGTTGAAGGAGGAGGTCTTGCTTCTCCAGGAGGAGATTAGGAGGCTGAAGGTCCACCTCAATGGGTCTGGGAGAGAGTGTGAGGTGGCTGGAGTTGTGGGGAATGAGGCTTCTAGCAGTGAGGTGCAGTCTGTCTCTCGCTGTGAGGAGGCTGGAGTTGGGGAGGTAGCAACGGCTACCAGCAGTTTACCTGGAGTTTACCTGGAGAGAGTTCCGGGGGTCAACGCCCCCGCGGCCCGGTCTGTGACCAGGCCTCCTGGTGGATCAGAGCCTGATCAACCAGGCTGTTGCTGCTGGCTGCACGCAAACCAACGTACGAGCCACAGCCCGGCTGATCAGGAACTGACTTTAGGTGCTTGTCCAGTGTTAGCTTGAAGACTGCCAGGGGTCTGTTGGTAATCCCCCTTATGTGTGCTGGGAGGCAGTTGAACAGTCTCGGGCCCCTGACACTTATTGTATGGTCTCTTAACCTGCTAGTGACACCCCTGCTTTTCATTGGGGGGATGGTGCATCGTCTGCCAAGTCTTTTGCTTTTGTAGTGAGTGATTTTCGTGTGCAAGTTCGGTACTAGTCCCTCTAGGATTTTCCAGGTGTATATAATCATGTACTCTCCCTGCTGCGTTCCAGGAATACAGGTTTAGGAACCTCAAGCGCTCCCAGTAATTGAGGTGTTTTATCTCCGTTATGCGTGCCGTGGGAAAATTCTCTGTACATTTTCTAGGTCGGCAATTTCACCTGCCTTGAAAGGTGCTGTTAGTGTGCAGCAATATTCCAGCCTAGATAGAACAAGTGACCTGAAGAGTGTCATCATGGGCTTGGCCTCCCTAGTTTTGAAGGTTCTCATTATCCATCCTGTCATTTTTCTAGCAGATGCGATTGATACAATGTTATGGTCCTTGAAGGCGAGATCCTCCGACATGATCACTCCAAGGTCTTTGACGTTGGTGTTTCGCTCTATTTTGTGGCCAGAATTTGTTTTGTACTCTGATGAAGATTTAATTTCCTCATGTTTACCATATCTGAGTAATTGAAATTTCTCATCGTTGAACTTCATATTGTTTTCTGCAGCCCACTGAAAGATTTGGTTGATGTCCGCCTGGAGCTTTGCAGTGTCTGCAATGGAAGACACTGTCATGCAGATTCGGGTGTCATCTGCAAAGGAAGACACAGTGCTGTGGCTGACATCCTTGTCTATGTCGGATATGAGGATGAGGAACAAGATGGGAGCGAGTACTGTGCCTTGTGGAACAGAGATTTTCACCGTAGCTGCCACGGACTTTACTCTGTTGACGACTACTCTGTTCTGTTAGTGAGGAAATTATAGATCCATCGACCGACTTTTCCTGTTATTCCTGTAGCACGCATTTTGTGCGCTATTACGCCATGGTCACACTTGTCGAAGGCTTTTGCAAAGTCTGTATATATTACATCTGCATTCTTTTTGTCTTCTAGTGCATTTAGGACCTTGTCGTAGTGATCCAATAGTTCAGACAGACAGGAGCGACCTGTTCTAAACCCATGTTGCCCTGGGTTGTGTAACTGATGGGTTTCTAGATGGGTGGTGATCTTGCTTCTTAGGACCCTTTCAAAGATTTTTTATGATATGGGATGTTAGTGCTATTGGTCTGTAGTTCTTTGCTGTTGCTTTACTGCCCCCTTTGTGAGTGGGGCTATGTCTGTTGTTTTTAGTAACTGTGGGACGACCCCCGTGTCCATGCTCCCTCTCCATAGGATGGAAAAGGCTCGTGATAGGGGCTTCTTGCAGTTCTTGATGAACACAGAGTTCCATGAGTCTGGCCCTGGGGCAGAGTGCATGGGCATGTCATTTATCGCCTGTTCGAAGTCATTTGGCGTCAGGATAACATCGGATAGGCTTGTGTTAATCAAATTTTGTGGCTCTCTCATAAAAAATTCATTTTGATCTTCGACTCTCAGTCTGGTTAGCGGCTTGCTAAAAACTGAGTCATATTGGGACTTGAGTAACTCACTCATTTCCTTGCTGTCATCTGTGTAGGACCCATCTTGTTTAAGTAGGGGCCCAATACTGGACGTTGTTCTCGATTTTGATTTGGCATAGAGAAGAAATACTTTGGGTTTCTTTCGATTTCATTTATGGCTTTTAGTTCTTCCGCGATTCCTGACTCCTAAAGGATTCTTTTAGGTTAAGTTCGATGCTTGCTATTTCTCTGACCATGTCTCCCTACGCATTTCAGATATATTGACCTCTTTTAGCCGCTCTGTTATTCTTTTCCGTCGCCTGTAAAGGGAGCGCCTGTCTCTTTCTATTTTACATCTACTCCTCCTTTTTCTTAGAGGAATAAGCCTTGTGCATACATCGAGTGCCACCGAGTTAATCTGTTTCAGGCATAAGTTGGGGTCTGTGTTGCTTAGTATATCTTCCCAGCTTATATCGGTTAGACTTGGTTTACTTGGTCCCACTTTATGTTTTTGTTATTGAAGTTGAATTTGGTGAATGCTCCCTCGTGACTAATCCATTATGTCGGTCTGGGGCTCCGTGCATACATGTCTGAACCTCAATTATGTTGTGATCTGAGTATATTGTTTTTGATATGGTGACATTTCTTATCAGATCATCATTGTTAGTGAAGATGAGTCTAGTGTATTCTCCAGTCTAGTAGGCTCTATTATTTGCTGGTTTAAATTGTATTTTGTGCAGAGATTTAAAAGCTCGTGTGAGTGTGAGTTTTCATCAGAGCTGCCTCCTGGTGTTATTACTGCAACAATATTATTTGCTATATTCCTCCATTTTAGGTGCCTTAAGTTGAAATCCCCCAGGAGCAAGATGTTGGGTGCAGGAGCTGGAAGATTTTCCAGACATTGGTCAATTTTTAACAGCTGTTCCTGGAATTGCTGGATGTTGCATCCGGAGGCTTGTAGACTACCACAATGACTAGGTTTTGGTTCTCGACCTTTACTGCTAAAACTTCCACTACATCATTTGAGGCATTTAGCAGTTCTGTGCAAACAAGTGACTCTGCTATGTACAGGCCAACCCCCCCCCCCTTTTGCCTGTTCACTCTGTCACATCTGTATAGGTTGTAACCTGGGATCCATATTTCGTTGTCCAAGTGATCCTTTATTGGGTGTCAGTGAAAGCCGCGAACAT